CCCTGGAATACATTCTGCACCTGGAATAAAACTCACCCCCAGGGGCAGGCTCTCAGCCCAATAGTTAACAAGATGTACATGCAGACCACTCAACCCAGGATGATGCACCCACATACTCTATGGTAATACATCCCTTAGAGCAAAAGACCAAGAACACCGGAGGACCAACATTCAAACTGAGGAAATGCAGGACAAACAGGAGTGTATAATTATGAGGGGCATGAGGGAGGGTTGCAGGGTAGGGAGGGAAGGAGACTGGGTTAGGATTGGACATGGTGAATGGGGGAATGAAACTAAATGTACGCATTACATTGAATATAAAACAAGCTCTTAAAATAAAAAAAAGATATTGAACTCTTAAAAAAAAAAAAAGTTTCTTGAACCTCCCTAAATGTTCTATTTTAGCAGGCAGTCACCCAGGAGTCTCTGGGTGGTGCAAACAGTCAAGCACTCAGAAGCTAACTGAAAGGTTGGTGGTTTGAATTTACCCAGAGGGTCCTCAGAAGAAAGTCCTGGTGATCTACTTCTGAAATGTCCTACCCACTGAAAACTCTGTGGACTGCACTTCTACTCTGAAACACATGCATTTTGGAGTCATAGTTTATGCTTATATTAAGTATAAATCTGTCTTATGTACATAAGACATTTCTTATGTACATAAGACATACATTTATCTGTTTAAGTAGGAAAGAGTGGATACAGAAAAATAGAAATTTGTAAGATTGTGCTTGGAAAGAATAGGAACTCTACTGGGAACAAGAAGGAGTGGTTAGTACCACTGATCACAAGAGAGAGAGCATCAACTACCTTATGTGGGAAAAGGAAACCTTAGTAATCAAGGCTATTTTTAAGACTTGGAGATGCACCTCAAGGGCCGAGTATCCTGAGATGGTGCCATTCAGTGTTTATGGGACACTTTGGTTTCACGTGGCCTGTATACCAGTTGATCAAATCCCTTTAGTGATGGCCTGTCATGCAAGTTGGGAATTCAGATTATTGCAGAGCTCCTCACCTCACTCTCTCCCAATAAAAAGCTTCTGTAACCTAGAACTTGGCTGCTGTCCAGCCAGCCCTAGCTGCACTGACCATAAAATTTGGTAAGAATATCAGGCTGGTCCTTAGGTGCAGCAAGATATGAGCAAGATTGAGAAATATCTACCTACCTACCTAAGTATCTCTCTCTCTCTCTCTTTGTATCTACCTACCTACCGAATACCAGTCTGTCAGTTTCTCATACTGTGGTGGCTTGTGTATTGCTGTGATGCTGGAAGCTATGTTGCTGTATTTTAAACACCAGCAAGTCACTCATGGTAGACAGGTTTTAGTGAAGCTTCTGGTCTAAGACTAGGAAGAAAGGCCTAGTGATCTACTTCCAAAAATAAGCCTGTGAAAACCTTATGGTTTACAACCGACCATTGCCCATCTTGGCTTGCTTTGGACATGCCAATCACTGGAGAATAATATAATGTTTGGTGAAGTAGAGGGCCAGTGAGGGCAATAGGACCCTTGGTAAGATAGATTGGCACAATAGCTGCAACAATGGACTAAAAAACACCAGGGACTATGAAGATAATGCAGGGCCAGACAATGTTTTTTTTTTTTTTTTTCTGTTGTGCATAAAGTCATCATGAGTCAGAGCTGACTCAAGAGTTGCCTATCTTTTTTTGAGATTTTTCATGTAGTTTTTTTTTTTTTTTTTTTTTTTTTTTTTTTTTTTTTTTTTTTTTTTAACTTTTTATTGTGGGAGCTCTAGTAGCGTAGTGCCTAAGGCATTTGACTGCTAACCAGAAGGCTGGTAGTTTAAACCCACCAGCCACTCCTTGGAAGGAAGATTGGGCAATCTACTTCCATAGTGATACTGCCTCAGAAACCCAAGTAAGGGTCACTATGAGTTGGATCTGACTCAACAGCAGTGAGTTTTTAATTTTTTTTTTTAATTGTGATTTGGGTGGAAGTTTAAAGAGCAAATTCACTTTCCATTCAAATAGCTCATGCACTTTTGGTTTCATGACATCACCTAAAATCCCCACAATATAACAACTCTCTTCCCACTTCCTCCCTATGGCTGCCTTTTCACTGTGTCTTTCTTTTTTGTGCCTCTTGTGCACCACTCTGTGTCTTCTTTTTGCTTAGTGATATTGTGCTGGTTACCCACTTTTGGTATATTGTGTTTCTCTTCACTCAAATCATAATGTGTCTCTTCCCTGGCTAGAATTTTTCCCTCCTCTCCCCTCCTATCCCTGGTAAACAATAAAGATAGTTTCCTACCCTGAGTAAATCGTTCCTTGACTTTTCTTAAATAGTGGACTCAACAGTATTTGTCCTTCTGTGATTGACTTATTTCACTTAATATGATGTCCTCCAAGTTCATTCATGTTACAAGAAGTTTTGCAGATTCTCATCATTCTTTCATGCTGCGTAGTGTTCCACTGTGTATATATGTATGTACCATAGTTTGATTATCCAATTCATCCATTGATGGGTGCTTAGGTTGTTTTCCATCTCTTTGCTATTGTGAATAGTGCTGGGATGAACACAAGCATATATCTATTCATGTCCCAGCTCTCACTTCTATAGGATATGTACATGGTAGCGGGACTGCCTGATCAAATGATATTTCTATTTCCAACTTTTTGAGGAAGCACCATACCATTTTCCATAGTGGTTGATCATTTTATAGTCCCATCAGCAATGTATGAGAGTTCCAATCTATCCATACCCTTTCCAGCACTATTTGTTTTCTATCTTTTTGAAATTTGCTCTTCTTGCTGGGGTGAGATGATTTCTCATTTTTGTTTTGATTTGCATCTCTCTGATGGCTAATGATCACAAGCATTTCATCATGTGTTTGTTGGTGCCTGAATATCCTCTTTGATGAACTGTCTGTTCTTGTCCTCCGCCCATTTGTTAATTGGTTTGTTTGTCTGCCTGATTTTTAATTGGGTTGTTTATCTTTTTGATGTTGAGGTTTTCTATAAATTTTAGAGAGAAGTCTCTTGTCAGATACGGCATTGCCAAATATTTTTTTTTTCCCAAAAAAGGTTCCCTTTTTACTCTTTTGGAAAAGTCTTTTGATGTGCATCTATCCATCCATCTATCTATCTATCTTTTTAAAAGAAATTAGTTCACCCAATTTTGAGGGTTGGCAAGCCATCCAAAATCCAGATCAAGTGACAGGCTACAAACTCCAGCACTCTTATATCTGAAATTAGTAGGCTAAGTGGTAGGCTGCAAACTCTAGTAGGTTGTCTACAGTCTATTTGCAGAATCCTTCTCCCTTAGGCAAGCTCATTTTTGCCCTTAGAGCCTTCAACTAATTAGATGAGGCCCACTCACATTGTTGTTGTTGTTTTTATGTGCCATGGAGTTGACCAGACTCATAGCGACCCCTCCTTGGGTTTCTGAGGTGATATCACTATGGAAGTAGATTGCCCAACCTTCCTTCCAGGACCACCAGCCTTCTGGTTAGCAGTCAAGTGCCTTAGGCACTATGCTACCAGAGCTCACTAAGAGACTGGCTACCTGCAGGAGGGGTGGTGGGTTTGGGTGTGGCAGGTGACTGTCTTAGGCCTGAGGCCATCCCCTAGGGCCAATCTTCTTTACTTAGGTCAACTAATTCAAGTGTTAATAATATGTAAATACCTTCATAGCAACATCTAGAATTGTGTTTGAACACCATAAACAACTGCACACCACAGCCTAGCTCAGTTGACAATAAAATTGGCCATCACATACTTGAAGATGGGAGTATGCAGTCCTAGATTTGCTCAATCAGCACCATGGTAGGAACAGAGAGATGCAAGTACTGCAAAGTGGGAAAAGAGCTATCCAGGTTCAGATTCAACAAATCAACATTCACTGACCACCCATTCACACTAAGCATGACAAAGGTAAAGAACTATTTATGATCCACAGGTACACCACCAGCCACTCCTTGGAAGGAGGACTGGGAAATCTACTTCCCTAGAGATACTGACTCAGAGACCCAAGGAGGGGTCCCTATGAGTCGGAATTGACTGGACGGTGGTGAGTTTTTGGTTTGGTATACTTTCCTTTTACATCCACAGAAGCCCAAATCCAAAGAGATTAAAATGTTTATATAGTTAATCAGGAACAGATTTGGCACCAGAGATTTGGGCTAGCTCTTTTCAATTTATGTAAATGTGACTGTGAGATAAAGCACTTTATTTTATTAGCATAAGCTTGGTGCTACTGCATTGGAATCAACTGTGGAAATTCACAATAACCAGATTTATCATAAATAACTTGCAAGAGGAGAATTTTTAATGAAATGGTGAAGAAGCCCAACATAAAAGCATAAACTAGGGACAGAGTAAGATTTTTTCCTACATATAAAAGTTACATGCAAAGAACATGAGAAAAGGAAGAGAAGGAAAACAAATTCTAGCCCTTTTATTTTAAGAACATAAAGGAATGGTTTCCTTTGGTTATTTGGCCAATGGGATTCCACACAGGCAGGTGTCTGTTGTGGTTTTTAAATAACTTTTCTAATTATGGTGCTTTAGAAGGTACTTGTTGCTCCATTGTAATGTTGCTTATTTTAGAGGATTTTTCTTCAACTGCGTGGACCCTTAACGAAAGGACATTGCCAAGTTGATCCAGTTCTTCAACGAGTGTTTTGACAACAATTTCTTCTGTTGAGTCTAAAATAAAATTAACGCAAGTTTAGTGCTCTTTCTTAACAGGTTGAAAGGTATTCATTCATTCAGTCATGACAGGCATGCTTTTTAAAAATGGGTTTTGCAAGTTTGCAGTAAATTGATATATAATACGGTGCTTGAAGTCAAGGCCAAGTCTTAGCAAGGCCTTGGACTAGCTTTCATGTTTTACCACTTCATGTATTACTTTCTTTTAAAGTAATGGATGTTTGACAGTATAAATGGAGCATGGATTAAAACAACATACACATCGGGCAAGTACAAGCCTGGAGCAAGAAATGCTGTTTACTTTTAAATACCAATTTGTTCCATTTTCATGGTTAAAATAATAAAATGTATAATAAAATGTTCTTTTACCAAAACATTGAAAATAATAGGTTATTAGTAAATAAGATGTTGGAGGTTGATTCCTCATTTTAAAATTATATATATAATTATAATTATATAATTTGACCACACTTGTTCTGTGGAATAGAAAACACAAATATTAAGCACTGTTACAATGTACCTTATCTCTTCAGGCACTAGAATCTAAACTTAGACAAAATTTCATTTTGTTTACAAGCAAGTGACTTATTGACTACTACTGCTGGAATTTATGAGTTACACCAAGTGAAAACCTTCTATACCTTTCACCCGATTTCCATGACTTTTAGGCACACATCCTTTTGATTTGTAACATGTGGGTTTACATTCTTTGTGAAGAAAATAATAAATTATTGTATTATTTTTTTCCATCAGGGAGTTCAGCAATAAGCATGAATTGGCAATGACAGTTTTGGAGCTTTACTTTCTAAAAGGTTCAATTTCTTCTTATGTTTGAGGAACATTAGTAAGCTTTTTACGACTTCAACATAATGAAAGAAGAGATTAAATGAACGTTTATAGTCAGACATTCCCCCATGCATAGATATGATCTCCTTGACTTAGCAATATGGGCACTCAAAGTTTTCATTCTGACATTTTAGTCAATCAAATGGCCAATGGACATCTTTGAGGTGCCTACTATGTGGAGGGCACTGGGCTTTGTGTTGTAGAAAATACAGAGGTCAGACACAAGCAGTTTATACTATTGATAGTAAAGCATCTGCATGTAAAAAGTTATTTATAAAATGGTATAAAGGGTGTTATTAAGAAAAAGTGAAAAATGCATGGTATAATAAACACTTCATTCTGAGGAGGTAGCACTCATTATTGGGTTCTGTGAGAATAGGCTGCAGGTGGTTGGTTGACCCTGGCCTTGGAAGATGCCTAAGGTGCTCCCTATTCATGGTGTGACCATGGGCAAGCAGTAAGTAATGGCCACTGGTTACCAAGTATCTTCTGTGTGCAAGCTACCGTCCCAAGGACTTTATATGTGCAGTGAGGCACGATGGTTAAGAGTAGTTAAGAGTGTGCTTTTGGTATTACTGCAATTTCACCAGAGAGGAAGGAAGGTGGAGCTTAAAGAGGTTAAACAAGGTGCTTAAATTCACCCAGTTGGTAGGATTTGAACCTACCAACCAATTTCTGGGCTGTTGCTTTTAGCTAACAAGGTATGGTGCCCCTCCAGTTAAATTTTCCTATTCCTTCATTGCTCATCTTTCAAATAAAAATGTAATAACTCACTCAATACAGGGTACATGTGGGGTAAGCAGTGAAGTAATAAGAAAATAGAATGTTATTATAAGAAATATGATTCAATGCCAAATCAAAGAAAGTAAATTTCCCCTGGATTGGAATACTGGAATTGTTCAATATTCACGTTGAAATTTTCTTTATATTATTATAGACAGAAATTCTTTTCTTACTTAGAAATCTGATTTGCTGCCTGTTTTCACATATCAACCCGATGTTGTTGTTAGGTGCCATTGAGTTGGACCAGAGTCATAGCGACCCCTCCTTGGGTTGCTGAGGCGGTATCACTACGGAAATAGAATGCCCAACCTTCCTTCCCAGGAGTGGCTGGAGGGCTTGAACCGCCAGCCTTCTGGTTAGCAGTCAAGTGCCTTAGGCACCATGCTACAGAGTAGAACTGCCCCACAGGGCTTCTAAGGCTGTATATCTGCACAGAAGCAGACTACCTCATCTTTCTCCCACTGAGCAGCTGGTGGGTTCAAACTGCCAGTCTTGGTTTGCAGCCAAGTGCTTTAACCCCTGCACCACCAGCACTCCTTCGTATACTCTTTAGCAGAGGAAATTCTAGGGGAGAGTATTGGTATACTGAGAAAATCTGGTTTGATATGAGGTTGTTTTTCAAGAGTCAACATCTACCTTTCTTTTCCGTCTATTAATCTGCAGTAAGTTTCTATTTCTTTTTCTAAGAAGATTTGGATATCTAGAAGCTGCTCGGACTCCAGCTTCTGGCCTTCTGTTTCCGTTCGAATCTGCTGCAGCTGTTCTTCCAGCATCTGGATCTGAGCCTGGGTTTGCTGGAGTTGAAGGCAGTAATTGCCTTCCGTCTCGGCCAAGGAGCGCTCATAGGAATGTTTCTGGAAGAAGAACAAAGTAGTCTTGAATGTGTGTGTGTGTGTGTGTTTAAAAGGCATGTTTATATTTTAAACATTCTCAAGGTGAAAATAAATATTTGTATAAGTTCTAAATGTCTTCAATTGAAAATCAACTTTAGCAAGTTTTTAAAAAGGCATTTCCACTCCATTGAAAAAACTCATTTTTCAGGTTTTGGGATGGGTGAATTAAAAGTAATATCGTTTATGGACAGAATTCTTGATGATTAATGTACTTACATATTTAATATATTTAGTCAATCTATATTCATTATAAATACATTTATGTATGTATTATATATATAAATACATTATATATGGATATATATACACACATATATGTATATGTATACACACACACACACATAGTTAGTTCAATGACAATTCCTGCTTACCATGGCCATGAGGGACTGAAGTTCTATTTCCAAGGTTTGGATATTGCGTTTCAGTTCCATCAACTCATTTCTGGCTGCCGTGGCTGCTCCTGCGTCATCAGAAATCTGTTTTTGCAGTGATGCACTCTGAAGTTTTAATTGTCAGAGGGTGAGTGACCAGCTTGGTCATCAACTGAACAAGCCCTTAGTGTGTAATCTGTCATAGCTGTACCTTCTCATTAAACTGGACCTCAGAGTCTCTGCGGTTCTGCTCAGCCAGCCCCTCATACTCGGCCCTCATGTTGTCCAACACAACAGTCAGGTCCACTCCAGGGGTTGCGTTCATTTCCACAGTCACATTTCCCCCCGCTGTACGCTGAAGGACTTTCATTTCCTGCAAAAGGGATCAGTATTAATACTCAAATCGGAATTTTAGTAGCTCTACACACTCTGCTCTGATGTAAGCAGTGTAGCTGAAGGAAGAAATCGATTCCACAGGAAGCCAGCCTGCTGGATTCCTTACCTCCTCATGATTATTTCTGAGGTGTGTTAATTCCTCGCTGAGTGTTTCACACTGTATCTCCAGATCCGTTGTACAAAGGGTCAGTTCGTCCAGCACTCGGTGAAGACTGTTGATGTCGGCTTCAAGGCTCTTGTGCAGAGCAAGCTCATTCTCATACCTTAAAGGTTATTAAAGTGCTTGAGAATTAAATCATAGGCAAGTGCAAAGCCTAAGTTTGAAGACATTTTTACATGGTGAGGATACGATTCTGTGCACACTTCTGAAGCTTCTTGCCATGGCAGACTGTTAAAAGAGTTTGAGCTGCCTACTGATTTAGGAATAATATTTGGGAGAAGTTGTTTCTTCAGAGTTGATTTTTGTCATCCCATGTGCTTCACAGTTGAATAAAAATCATGTTAGATGTTTAAAATGTGTGACCCTGGGTGTAGAGGAGAACTGCTTCATAGGGTTTCCAAGGCCTGTGGCCTTTCAGAAGTAGAAGGTTACTCCTGTCTTCTGAGGCCTCTGGGTGGGTTTGAACTGCCAACATTTTGGCTAGCAGTTGAGCACTTAAACTACTTACACCATCCAGGAGTTGTTAAAATTTATGCTAGCTCTCTATGTTAGGGCATATTTTGTTCAACTTCTTCATTGATGCAGTTTGGCTTCATAAGAACATTTTGCTTTAAAAAGCAATAGCTATGTTATTTTACCCAGCTGTAGGTGTTTACCTTTATTATAATTTATTACTTTATTTTCACTTACTTCAGCCTGAAGTCATCAGCGGTCAGTCTGGCATTGTCATTCTGTAGAACAATGCTAGCGTTACAGTTAGTCGCAGAAATAATCTAAATGAGAAATAGTGTGCAAAATGTTAAGTCCCAAAAGTGATAGGAATCTGCAGGTTTCAGTGTGATTCTCCATTTTATTAACCCCACAACCATCTGTTTTACTATCATTTTTTTTTTCTAACTTCGTCTGGATTTTCTTCATATAATAAATGCCCAGAGCTTAAGTGCTAAAGTGTAAGCTTTTACGATTATACTTTCATTATTTTAAGTCAAAAGGCATGAGCCAAATACAGAAACAACAAACTAGTTATATCCATTTTTAAATGGTTTCTCTTTCATTAATTAATTCTGCAAATGTTTATTGTCAGGCACTTCCCTAAGCACTGGGAATACAGAGTGAGTAAATTCTGTATGATGCAAATTTGTTAAGCACCTTTTATATATTTTTTAAGATGTATAGATATGAAAATATGTAAGTATATAATATAAATTGTACATTTTTATACTTTATATATTTTTTATAAATTATAAATATACATTGTTGTATAAATATACAAATCTATATTTCTTACCTGCCTTTTAAGATCTTCCATGACTGAGAAATATCTACCATAGTCATGATCAAGTCCCTGACAAGAACCAGGACCGTGTTTCTCATGCCAACCCTTGATCTTCTGCTCTAGATCTGCATTTGCTTCCTCCAGAGCTTGCACATGGTCCAAGTAGGATGCCAGGTGGGCATTGAGGTTCTGCATGGTCACCTTTTCATTCCCAGAGAGGAGACCATGCTCATTTCCAAGAAACCCAGTGTAGATCCCACTTCCCAACCCTCCACCATTGAAGAAGCCTCCTCCAGAAGTAATGCCCCCAAGATTACAAGAAAAGCTGCTTCCTACTCCTGACCTACCGCATGCATTTCCAGCCCCAAAGTTTGTTCCTCCACCGGGCCGCCTAACACAGCCAGCTCGGGAGCAGAGCC